GGATTGGCGTGTGCTCGCGCGTCCTGTCCTCCACGCGGATCGCAGGGCGCGCCCCCCGCCCCCCAACTCGCAGAAGCGCTGCGAAAGTTTTGATGGGGTTTTGCGCGGGAGGTAAAGCATTGACTCCGACCTGACGCGCGCTGCGTGGGGAGACAGGAGCGCGGCCGTGAAGGAGGTGAACCCGCGTACGCGGAATAGAGCAGTTCATTGACAGCTTAGAGGGAGGGGGCATGGGAACCGGTGCCCGCCACCCCCTCAACTCTCCCGTCTCAGCTCCGTGGGCTGGTGAGGAGGGAAGGGGGACACGCTCAGCTGCTCGCTGCGGAAGCCATCCTCCAGGAAACCTCATGCACCCCTGCAGGCGCGGACGCCCGGCCTCGGGAAGCCACCAGCTCCCCACCCACCCCATAGAGCATGGTGAGAAAAGGACTCTCAGGGTGGAACTGGGAGCTGTCAAGGGTGGTCACTGTGGAAAAGGGACCTGGGGGTGTTTTGTGTTTGGTGCTTTTTTAAAAAAAGAAAAAAGATCTGTCCTGACAAAGTTTCGCTGTTCCGCAGAAATCCTCACACTCGTTCCAGAAACCCTAAGAACTAAGGCTGATGGCTCAGAGCGCCCACCCGGGGCTAGAGGCTGGGGCGCCCGGGGAGCAGGGCGGCGGCCACTGACAGCTCGACCTGCCCGACCCAAGCGCACACACATACACACACATACACACGTGTCACACACACACACACACACTTTCACTTCAAGCCCAGTTATCCAACTCACTCTCACTACCTACAACCCCCATCTTTATACACAGTGGGGATGGAAACAGTGTTAGCGACACTTGTCCGCAGCCCAGAGAAAATAAGGATGATGTAATTAGTCATCTTCCTTCTTCCCCTTCCGCCCTCTCTGGGTCCGATAAGGCCTGGGGCCGCCAGATCTCCCACTCCCTGAAGCCCAGCTGGGGGCCTAGAGGGGTGGGGAGCAATGGCCATTTCTCAGTTGGGACCAGGAGTCCCCAGAAAGAGTGCTGAGGGTGCCCAGGAAAGTTCCCCGTCAATCTCCAAGGGCAGTGCCTCAAGGCGACACCATCTAGCATCCCAGAAGCCAAGAGTGGGAGAAGGGCTAGAGGGGCCATGGAGACAGAGGGTGGGGAAGACTTTTAGGAGATGTCAGAATTAAAGTTGGGAGTTGCTGATCTCCGGAGTGGACTGAGAAAAACTGATAGGAGAAATAAGAGAAGATTCTGGGGCAAAATGAAAACAGAAAAGAAGAGAAAAAAGAGGGTCAGGGATGGGGAATGAGGGGGAGGAGTGAAGAAAGAAGAGGAAAGAAAGGGAGGAAGGAAGAGAGGGAAGAAGGGAAGAGAAAAGGAAGGGAAGTTAAAAAAGGAAGAACGGAAAGAAGGGAGAAAAGAAGGAAGGAAAGAGGAAGGAAGGAGGGAGGAAGAAAAGGAAAGAAGAGAGGGAGGGAGGAAAGGAATGAAGGAAAAGAGAAGGAAAGTTTTAAAATGAGGGAAGACAAAAAAAAGCAAGGCAGAAGGAAAAGAAGAACGAAGGAAATAAAGGAACGAGAAAGAAATGAAAGGAAGGAGGAGAAAGAAAGAAAGAAGAAAGAAAGAAAGAAAGAAAGAAAGAAAGAAAGAAAGAAAGAAAGAAAGAAAGAAAGAAGAAAGGGAAGACAGAAGGAAGTGAAAGAAAAACAGATGCCGCTGCCCAGCGGCTCTTCCTTCATGCTGCTTCCACTCCGTTGGATGCTTTCCTGAATCCCAAACATGAAAACAACCTTTTCTTGTGGAAAATCTCCTCCCCCTTGAAAATATTAAAAAAAAAAAAAAAAGGAAAAAAAAAGAATCCATCTTTATTGCTTAAACAGATTTACCAAAAATTACATCAATCACATCTTTACCCAGCAACAGTTTACATATCTGAAAATATATATCTCTTAAACTATTGTTATTGAGAGTGTGCAAAAAGCAAACAAAAACCTCAATATTATTGGAACTATGGGTATGTTTCTGATTTCACTCTTCTAAAACCATGGTTTTGGAAGACTTCTTAGAGGCTAGGGATACATTTGAATGAAAGGGAATTGAATTGAATTTGAATTGAACTGCAGAAGTCATCACGTAAATGTGGTTTTAGACAATACTTAACATCTTTGCCCTTTCCCAAGGGAGTGGGAAATATCAACAAAGAGAAAGAAAAGAAAGCAGTCATAAAAACACAGATATCCAACATCAAGCTGGTGAGGCTCTCGCCTCTTCTGGCTTAAAACAAAATGAAAACAGTCACAGACCCGGCAGGGGAAAGTGCCGGCAAAGCGTGGGCTCCTCGCGGGAGCTCCCGGCCCTCCGGCCTCAGGCGACTAAGGCAGCGCGGCCCCGGGAGCGCGGAGCCCGGGAGGAAAGACGGTGAACTCGCGTTAGAAGATCAAGGCGGGCTAGAAAGCAAATTTTTAAAAAATGTAAACCGTCGCTCAAAACTGAGCGATAACCCAGAAAAAAGGCAGAAAAAAAAGAAGGGAAAATCCAACGAAAAGACCAAAAAAAAAAAAATGAGATGTATGCTTGGCTGTTGGGGGTTGTTTGGTTGGTTAATTTTTGGTTTGGGTGCTTTTTTTTTTTTTGTTTTTTTTTTTTTTTTTTGTAATGATCACAGGCCGGTGGAGGGCAGGAGGGGCTGGAGTTTCCTTTTGCAGAGGTACCCTTCACTTGAAGAAGCAGGAAGAAAAAAAAAAGCCCTGATGGCAATTTAAGAAACAATAGACTCAACTCGCGCTGCCGGCTTTGCTACTTCAAGTGTCATTTTCCACAACCAGGCAAGTTTTTTTCCTCTTTCTTTTTTTCCCTCCTTCTCTCCCAACCAGAGATGTTTCTTTCCTTCAGTGCGTACAGACGAGGAGGACGCTGGTTGCCGTAGACAGATACACCAGAGAGGGAGATTGGGATGGGGGGAAGGGGGGAGAAAGAGGGAGAGAGGAAGGGGGGGAGGGAGAGAGAGAGAGAAGGAGAGGAGAGGGAGAAAGAGAGAGGGGTGGACCCTGCTGGATGGAGATTCTGTTTTCTCCTCGCTAAAATAGAAGTGATTTGCAGGCTTTCCCTATGGAATCCAGTTTGACTCTCCCCAGAGCTAAACACAGGCACACTAACCCCAAAGGGAGGAGGCGGGGCCCGCGCCTCCCAGGCCCGCCCCTTCATTTGCATAACGTCATTCTTCCGCCTCGCCGCAGCCAATCGCAACTCAGGAGCCTGCTGGCTCGCAGTGCGGGACCACGCTCCCTCATTAACATCCCTCTCCCGGCGGCTCCCGGGAGCCGGCCAAAGTTCCTCGCAAAGTGGCGAGCGAAGGACCGCTGAGCTCCAGCGTCTGAGCTGGAAGGAGCGGGGCTGAGCAGGGCAGAGCCTGGCCAGAGAAGGGGGACAGAAGGAACGGGTGGGGATATTCTTCTCGGGGATTTGAGCTGGGATCTGCATCCTGGCCGTTGCGGTTTAGCATCCTCGCCGCGCCCTGAGCGCGCTGGCGGAGCCCAGGCTGCGCCCTCCCAGGGCCGCCGCCCG